GGGGGGGGGGGGGGGGGGGGGGGGGGGGGTTGTAAATTGAATTCCCTTTGAATCTCAGGATTCCAAATACATAAGGGGCCATAGTAGTCTCTGGAATTGGGACCAAATGCTTTGCTATGCCCTCCAGCTTATTCCCCTTAGCCATGAAGGGATTAATGATAAAGGGTCTTTGGGCATTTATAGACATGCTCTGGGAGGCAGGGTGCTTTAGAGTGGCTCCAAGAGCTGCTCTAATTAAAGCGCCCAGAGCATCACATGTATCAGTGTCCCTGTGCTGAAAAAATGGTGGTGGGGCAGTGACGCACACGATGTTAGAGTGTGGTAATTACTCCACATGCTCCAGTAGACTCAATTAAATCAAGTCTGCTCCGACACGTTACAGCGCATCCGAGCAGCCTCTGTACATATATAGGCACCCTTTATGTCTTTTAGGTAACGTTGGAAAATATGAAGTTTGACAGGCATCTTTTTAACCACAAAAAGGACCCAAGATTCCAGATATTAGACCAACACTGAAAGCTGCAAAGATTGGTGTTTAGTTTCTCCCAGTTTATCTTCACCCTATTTCATTAAACAGTGCAAATATTAAAATGTAGTCTTCTTCACCAAGTACCTTGCTCTTCCATGAATATCACCACAGATGAGTTGAATCAATATTTTAAACTCTTTTTCAGATAAAAGGGAAAATTGGGGGGAAAAAAAACAGCCGATGTAAAGATACTTGGAATGTGCTACAGAAACACGTGGGAAAAAACAGGGCTCCAGTCACACTGTTTCACACAATCCTATCTAACTCAAAGCTGGAGATGACAATTATAATCATTTAAGTATCTCTTTTCTGCTCGGAGCTAGGTCTGCTTCGTTAAAAAAAAGCATTTTCCCCTCAGCTCTTGGCTTCAAAGGTTATGGAAGTCTGACAATTTCACACACCGTCTTAACTTGCACGTGGTGTCTACAGTAGATAAGGAGGTCCAAACTTCTGAGGCTTAAATTTGGTCATGGAGGATATAAGAAGGAACCTTCTGCACAGTTTTTAGTCAATACAACTGAGAAACCTATTTGCCTCCATACATTCGCTCGATATCACTGAGGTAATGGTTCTTCAATTCTTTCCTTTTCAGTTTGAAAGCATCAGTCACTAGACCAGTCTCTGGGGTCCATGGTTCAGGGCTTAATCGTACCTTGATTGGTATTTCAAACCTCTCCAGTTTCACTGCAGAGACAAGGGGAGAGGAAAAAAAAAAATGAAAAGCTAGTGTTATATATGCTCTTCTATTCCCCTATAAAAAACAGATTCACACTGCGTAATAATTAAAGCTAAGAGTTGCACTCAGCAGTACTCTTTACACCACAGCGCAGCAACTTACTTGAATACAAGTAATGGAAGTGACATCTGCTGAAGACGACAAATTCAAAAACTTGCCCCCATAATATTTAGCACCAAGTAACACCATCCATGGATTTTGGTAGCGTGTGGTACTGTAATTCTCATATTTATAGATCTATTAGCTGGGGAACTGTTAAAGTACCAAAACAAAGAATCTCCACTCTGACAAGCTCAGAGTACAATGATGTACAGTTGTAGAACATAGCCGGGAGCTAATTAAGTAAGGACTATGAATACTGTTAGCCATAGTAGCATTAAAGGAAAGTGAAAATCCAGCACCTTAGCTTCCTTTTGTACAATAGGAATTTCAGAACCAGCCAAACTGTGCAGACTTTTACTAGGCAGTTTTGATGCCCAATGCCTTTTTGCAATGCCTAATAAGCTCAGTTTGTAGAAGCATGCACCAAAAAAAGCAAATACAAGTCAGTAATGTTCTTGTGCACATATCTGTGCATCTGTATTCACACACAGGGGACATTTTGCATCCTGTTATAACACGTGAACTCCACATTTTCTGCACATTGCAAAAATATGTATTCTTAGTGTGCAGTCCAGGCATTATGATATCAAGCCACATACAAGTTTGCATTTCATCATGTTAAGTATCAGCTATCTAGTTATCCAGTTGCCAGAAAGGTCTTGGCTAAAAGCTAAAAATAAAAAAGTGCTTTATTCCTGGAAGCAAAATGTGTTTACAGAGTCCAATATGAATGGGCTTCTCTCTCCTTTTGTTATAGTACAATTGCATATTCCTTAGAAGTTGACATGGCCATTAGAGCTCACTCTTGCATACAAAGAAGCCTTCCTTACAAAGCAAACTAAGGTGAACTTAAAACTCTTCCGAAACAGACTGTTAGCAATAGAAAAAGGTGTAAATGATTTAACATTTATTAAGACTACATGCTCTTTAGAACAGGGACCAACTTGTTCCATGCTTGTACCTAGCACAATGGTTCTTCTCCAGCAGGGTCCTTTGGGGCCACAGACATGGTTAAAGCTGTCTTATGCCCCTATATAACTGGAATAAAGCATGGAGAGAATACAACTCTCCTGTATTCCCTCATATTCAAAGCCCAAGCTGCTGAGGATTCCAGAAAAGTGGGCCTTGCATATGAACAGTGCTTGTAGCCTCCGGTTTATTAAGTGGCCCTGTACAGGTAGATCTAACTAACTACCCAGGTCAGGCAGGTGAATAGATATGATGGCAATTATATGTTAAGTATGGGTCATGAGGGTCTGTAGAAGGAGTACACTTATCCACAGTTCAGAACTAGCAGCCACTAGATCAGACACTTCCTAGATTCTGTCTTGCTGTTACAAGCTGCAAAGGAAAACTATAGAGGACAGGGCAGCCTGAACCCTTGCTACAGAAATACCAGGCATGGAACACACAGCCTTGACAGGCACTGCTATAGCAGAATTTGAATCGACTCAGAGTGGAGCCAGGTCAATGCTGAAAGTTAAAGAGGTTTTCAAGCCCATACATACCAGTAATGCATCTTGTAAATACCCAAGTTGGACCTCAGACAGAAGATCTTAGCAGAGTTTCCAGATCTGAGAGCTTTCAGGTATAAGATTGACTGTACTATCACTTGCCCTTTTCCATGGTGTGGAGTTGATCAGCTTATTGTAAGCCTCAAATCACAGGAATTTTGCCATCAGCAATTCCACAGACAGGGGTGACATGTAGGGGGTGTATGCAGGTACACGTGAACCCTGTGTGGCAGTGCACCCCTGCAGAAAAAAGGAGTCTGTGGGAGCTCCCCACTCACTGCTGCCGGCACAGCCATACCCCACCAGCTACTGGGGGCATGAGCTGTTCATGGCCACAGATTTTTCCTGTCGTCCTACCCCACTTCCTCAAACAAAGGCAAACCCAGAGACCGAGCCTGTGCATAGAGTCCTAAAAAAGGCTACATGCTTATTGCACATGGCACTAAGATTCCAGTGTGGATGACTCTGGTGTAGGCATGTACAGACAGACAGAAGCAGCCTAATTAGAGGAGGCAACTAGGGCACCAACTTAAGCAGGAAGAGGGGGATGTAAAAAAGTTAATAGCTGCTACCACTGCAATCCACCATCACTGGCTGATGAACAGATGCCACCGCTGCTGGCTGGCTGAGCTACTATCACTGGTAGCCTTCACTGCCGTTTTGTTATGCTTGCGGCTACAAGGGACTCAAGGAGTAGCTGAAGACCGCTCAAAAGGCTGACTTTAAATATGAATTAAAAAAACACAAAACAAAAAAAACAAAAAACAAAAACCATACACCCTGAATTTCCAAAGTCTAACATTAGTACAGCCACTAGATGGTAGTAAACAGACTGATGAACACCAACCAGCAACCATGGCTAACCCATTAGCAACCTTCAGTCCCTGTAACTGTGGGCTATTATTGAAACACAGACACGTCATCGTGTTTAGATAGGCCTATTCATAATGGCAGAATGTTCTGTTAATTCCAAATTCATGGTGCTCTGTTTAGTAGTTGCAAAGACTGAAGACTACATGAAAATCTGAATACATTTTAGATAAAACTATGGCTAACAAGTGGTGAAGGATTTAAGCCAATCCCTAAAAGGAACATAAAAACGGAATTGATTTAAAATCAAATAGGTTTAAATTATGGATTTAAAGTCACTGGTCAGGAAGCCTTGATTTAATTACTGTTTTCTACAAAAAGTTTATTCATATTGTTTGATTTTTTTATTCATTTAACTTTTTGAAACTTTGTACTTTTAGAGAAATGCAAGGGCTTGACTGGGTACACAAACTTGTGCAGAGACAGTAGGGCTGATGGGTGGGTAATCAGGTCTGTTCTCTCTCATCTCCACACACTGCCGTTAACAAGGATTTTCTCTGGAGACAACCAACTCACTGTGCCTGAAGGGCATTTACGCCCAACAACTTGCAGAAAACAATTTTTCCAACTATTTAGTTGGTCCCATCAAAAGAACCTTGTCTGTCTATGATCTCTGGAGACACTAATTCAGTTTGAAAACAAATTAAGCATCACAGAGATGCTTAATGGGATCTAGACTGAGCACCAAGCCCCAAATCTTTACTAAACTATAGAGGAGCCTCTGAGAACCCCATAAGATTGGGCCCCTAATATACTCATAAATAGGTCACAACAGGCCTATGCCTAAAACTTCTGAAAAGGTTACAAGAATATATTTTTTCAAATAGTATATAATTAGAAGTTATAATCCCTATTCCATGATGGTATCTTTGAGCTTTAACATATATATCATCTTAACTTTATATAAAGATAGTTTTAATGCAAGTTGTTTTTTTAAAGCATCTTAAAAATATGCTTACATCAAAAACCCCGATTTAATTTTTTAGAAATCTGATTTCTTGAGTTTAAATTTTTTTTTTTTTGATGTTTATTCACCCTGATTAAGATAGCCAGTGATGATGGAAGAGTCTTCTTTCTACTCTATTGGTTGGATCATCATCAAAGCCCAAAAAGAATAATGCCCCCTCTAATGTTTGGCTGCAAAGCCCTTACTATTCTCTTTTCCTTGAAAAGGTCACCTCCTCAAGTTGTTTTTGATCTTCATTATTTGAAACGACATGGAATTCTACAGGTCAAGCTTGAAGGACAAGGACATTGGAAAGAGACTTTCCTTGACACACACTTGCTCCCTGCCATACCACCACTATCAATAGCTCCCACATTTTGTTTGCTCCTTCCAGGCCTTACATGTACTGTACAAGAAACCTGCATCTTAGTTAAAATTTCACAGTTTAGCAAGCAGCAGTATCCTTCTCATGGGATGTACTGATTAGGAGACTAGCATGCATTCTTCTAATAAAAATAAATTGAAGGAAACTCAAAGTCAGTGCATTCTTGGTCTGTGCCCCATTTCTAACCTTTGGGAAAGGAAGGCAGGCAACTGTGAGGCCCCGAGTAGGGCAGACTTCTCTACATCTGGTCAGACTTACATTTGGACTTGGCTAGTACAGCAGACAAGCTAACTTTACTTACTCTTGTTTGCAACTTCTTTTATTTCTTTCAGTATTTCAGCTTCCATGATAGGGTTGTTACAGATATCAATCCATGACCCACTGACACTTTTCTGTTCAGCCAATGCTGTCAGCTTCTTTTGGTTAGGCACCACAAAACTGATCACATACGACTGGTCGCTGAAACAGGATGGGAAAACAAGAACTAAAAATAGGCAAGTGACAATAATTAAAAAAAAAAAAGAGTACAAAAATGCCTTTCAGCCCAAGAAAATATTCTTCAGTGCTTTCATATTTGTAGTCAATATTCTTTCCCAAACTGTAATGTCGGTCCTTTGGTGACAATCTTTGACCATATCTGAATTGCAAGAGATTGCAACTTTTGTAAGTTACTTGAACTTGTTGACAACTTCTAACAAGTTAAAGGAAGGTCCAGATTTTCTACTCCATTTATGTTCAGCAAGTTAAGAATTACAAGCGACATCTCTTCAGGTATCTCCCTTCCATCAGGCTCCAAGTGGCAAGGTGAATATTGCTCTAGTAGTCTCACTGAAGGCAAAATCTGTACAATGTGGATTTTACTTGCATTTAAGGGGGAAAGGCTACTATTCATTCCTTCATTTGAGACAGGACTGACTGAATTTGGGGTAGGAGAAACATGCACATGGTCACTAAGCCAAGGTGGTCCAACTGGCAGCCTGCACCGGTTAATGAGCAGCCCTGGGCTCCTCATTACAGGCTACAACTCCTCCTGCTGCTCCAGTGTTTGCTGGAGCTGGAGACCCTAGTTTCGTACCACCTGCCTTAACTTTTCCTTCCTACTCCCATTCCAGGGGGCAAGGCCATGCAACCCACAGCACTAGAAGAGCCCATGGTAGGGTTCAGCAAGAGAACTGATGTGGGGGCTCCCCATACATGGTATGGCATGGGGGTAGGGAGGTGCCGCCTGTGTGCAGTAAAAGCCACTTGTGTGGTGCGGGGGGGAAGGGATGCAACTCCAGGAACCGTGGCTTACACTGGTATGACTCACACGGCATGCAGCCCTCAGCCACTTAGAAACTGGACCACCCTGCTTTAAGCCACCTCTGCAATCACTACATTCCAAAGGTTCAGAGTGACCCCTAGACAAATTGGAGGATTGGGCCAAAAAAAATCTTAAGGTTCAATAAGGACAAGTGCAAAGTCCTGCACTTAGGACGGAACAATCCCATGCACCAGTACAGCCTGGGGCTGACTGGCTGGGCAGCAGCTCTGCAAAGAAGAACTTGTGGGGGGAGGTTACAGTGGACAGCTAGGTGGATGAGTCAGCAGTGTGCCCTTATTGCCAAGAAGGCAAACAGCATGCTGCGCTGCATTAGCAGGAACCTTGCCACCAGACTGAAGGAGCTAACTATTTTGCTCTTCTCTGCAGTGATGAGATCACATCTGGAGCACTGTGTCCAGTTTTGGGCCCCCCCACTACAGAAAGGATGTGGACAAAGTTGGAGAGAGTCCAGTGGAGAACAACGAAAATGGCTCATGGGCTGGGACACATGACTTATGAGGAGAGGCTAAGGGAAGCTGGGCTTATTTAGTCTGCAAGAGACAGGGGATTTGATAGCAACCTTTAATTACCTGAAGGGTGGTTCCAAAAAAGAGGATAGAGCTAGATAAACTGTTCTCAATGATGATAGAACAAGAACAATGGTCTCAAGCTGCAGCAAGGGAGGTGTAGGTTGCATACTAGGAAACACTCTCACTAGGAGAGTGGTGAAGCACTGGTTAGTGGTTACTTAAGAGAGGTGGTGGAATCTCCATCCTTGGAGGTTTTTAAAGGCCTGGCTTAACAAAGCCCTGGCTGGAATGAGATAGTTGGGGATAGTACTGGTTTGAGCAGGGGGTTCAACTAGACCTCCTGAGGCCCCTTCCAGCCCAAATTTTCTATTATTCTACGATTCTAAGCCAGGAGCCTGTACAGTCTAGCTAACCTCCTACAGTTTCTCAAGGGCACCAAGGTCATAGTGCAGACTGGCCATGATCCTTCCTTGCTTCTTATAATAGGAGTTAGGAGCTATTATTCCCAAGCCATATTAGGGGTGGATCTTTAAGAGGCATTTTACTTTTTATAAAAAGAGCTTTAGTGCATCAGTGAACTAGCATTTTAGGCATGTCCTAAATATATACACAGTAAAAGCTCCATTATCCCCTGGGAACGGGGGATGCCGGGTAACAAAATATACCAGTTAATTGAGCATCGCCGCCACTCCTGCAAGGACCTGTGGGCCCCACAGGTCCTGGGAGGCAGGTCTCACACAGCCCTGTGCAGGCTGCTTTGCCCTGAGCAATGGGGGCTCAGAGAAACCGGAAGCGCCACAATGGGCACTTCCGATTTCACTTTATCTTACAAGCCGGCATGCTGGTTAGTGGAGCATGCTGGCTTGCAAGATGCCAGATAACAGAACTTTTAGTGTATACGACAAGCAAAAGGAGCCCCTTTAAAATGAATTTCTGAAAAGCACAGAGGAACAAGTGAGAACTCACCTTTTGGCATAAGCACAAATATTATCAATAAGTGGACAGTTCTTCAGTGCTGCTTCTACTTTGGCCAGAGATACATATTCTCCTGCTTGCAGCTTCACCAAGTCTTTTTTACGATCTAAGGAACAGTTAGAGAGAAGTTTTGATTACTTCACTTCTATATATTTAGTTGCAAAAACATTAAGTACCACATTTTTCTGAAGTTTAAACAGAACACTATGGAAGACTTAAGAGTTAAAAATCCTTTGTAAGAATCCATTAGTTTCATTCTCAAGAACGTTTACTGTATGAAGCATCTTTCAAGAACAGATATTTGAATTCTTAACTATGGAATTAATGCCGAGTCCCCTGCCTCTCCCCCCACTTTTCAGTCTACATAGGCTGGATATAGACAGGGATACGATTACACATGATAGCATCAGTTACAGAGCTTCTCATGATCATGGTAATGTTTGAGAATGTGCTTTCATGACTGATTCAGCAAGTTACTTATGTGTAGTGATCGACCCAAGTCGCACCGCAAGGGCATTGCACAGCAGCACCTTTAATCTTGCTCTTTTTGCCACATGCCCCCCCACACCGATTGTCGGCAAGGCCCCAGTTTCTACGGATCAGCCAGAAGGCAAAAGCTGCCGCATATTTAAAAGCATGGTTTTTCTCTCCTTGCCCATCAGGACCAAGTGGCAAGGCTGTTGGGGTCCCTCAGCCAATCAGCACATGGGGGGGGCACGCCAAAAAGAGAAAGATTAAAGGAGCTAATGCATAGTGCTCTTCCAGCACAATTTAAATAGATCCCCAATTATGTGTATATCTTTAAGCGCAAAATAAAAATCGCTACCAGCCTCAGTGGGACTGCTCATGTTTATAGCTATATTGAACAGTCTTAAAATCTTAATTTAACAAGATGCTTAAGTTTGCAAAAATTGAGGCCAACCTATGATCTGCAGGCAACCATCAGAATGAAATTCTCCAATATCTCCAGTACAAAACCATCTCTGGCCATTTTCATCCACAGAGAAATCTTCTGTTGTCTTCTCATCATTTTTGAAGTATCCCAGAGAAACATTGGGTCCACCTATTATAATCTCTCCTCTAGGATTGGGCTTGTCTCTGCAAGTGTAGCCCCCTGTAAATTGCAAAATAAATTTGAGTCCATTATACAAAATGCATTCCTCTGCAGGGAACTAAGGGAAACATGTACTGAAATCATCTCTTGGCCACAGTAAAACAATATAAAAAACATAAAATGGCTGTCCACATATCAAGAGATTGCAAAACAGAACCCCCAGCTGCCGTACAATCTACAGTGAAGTGCGAGTTCTAAGAACAAGCATAGCAGAAGGCAGGGCAGGGCAGCACCTCAGAGCAGGGGTGGGCAAAATATGCCCTGTGGGCCAGATCTGTCCTGCCAAGGGATTTTAAAATTGGGCCCACGACAGGTTTCTTAGTCCTGCTTAGCGCAGGCACAGGCAACACCCTGGGCCATGGCACGTGCAGCAGGTTTTACTGCCCCCAGGGACACAGCAAGGCTGGAGCAGCATGATGGCTGGACTCAGCTTCAGGGCAGTAGAGTTTCATCTGGTAGCCGCTGCCAGTGTTGCCACTTCTGCCAAACCCAGCCCTGCTGCCCAGACACTCCAGGCCTGTCTGCCCTGTACCCACTGCTGGGGGCATTGGCCAGAATGGGCAGGGTCTTCAAAGAGACTCGCTTGGGACCCCTGCGAGTAGGGTGCACTCGGCTGGGTGGATAAGATGATGCCATAGGTATGTGAGGAACAGCATCTAAGAGCAGGATGGGGCAAGGGGGGGCAGGATCACTGGCTGATGATGGCATGGGCCTGTGCAGAATGTGGATCACAGCTCTGCCCTGGGCATCAGCCCCATGCTTTCACCACTCTAGCCCCACGTCTGTCCTGCTCCCAGACAGTTCCCTGCCCACCTACAGTTCCATCCCATCTGCCCAGCTGAGCATGCCCTGCCCATGGGGGGGTCCTGGGCTGCCCACTCCATCTTGCACCCCTGGACTAGTCTAGTAATCTACCACTTGGGAAGTTTTGGTGAGCTGTTGGGGGGAAGAACGTGGCGAGAGTCAACACTGACCTGGCTATAAACAACTTACCAAAACACCTCAAGTGGCCCTCCAGTCCAAATAATTGCCCACTCCTGCCTTAGAGACTGATTCAGAGACATGAGCTTTCAGATGCAACAGCCTACTACATCAGATGCTAAAAAACACAGTACTTTGTATTCTACTATATTTTTCAGGGTTTGAAACACACTTATATTTTACTACTAGTTTGAAAAATTGAGGCCATATTTACTGAAGTCTTTATTTAAAGAAACTGAAAAAATAGCACTCACCTTCTTGCCAATCTCTCAATTTAATCTCACAGCAAATGAGAGGAGCTCCAACTCTGCCAGTGCTATAGTCAGCAACTAGAAAGGTGAACAAAGATTTTTCAGTTTGGCATAGAAGCTGTTTTCCTGTTCAAGACCTAGCAAGTTACTCTATAATATGTAAGAGCTATGACTATTTTCAGTGAATTATAAGAACTGAAGAGCTGAAATCTGCAACTTCCATGCATGTGTCCAGAAGCACGTTAACATACCTTCAGTAATGGTTCCAGCTCCACATGTTTCTGTTAATCCATACCCCTGGCCAACAGGACAGCAGAAACAGATGTTCATGAACCTTTGCGTCTGAGACGAGAGAGGTGCTCCTCCAGACAGCATCATACGCACATTCCCTCCCAGCAGGGCTTTTACCTTTTTAAACAACAGTCTAGAGGGAAAAGAGTTGCATTTAAACATCACTTGCTCAGTTAATTTGTAAGACAGACAAGAGAATATAACTACCCTCTTCACCTACTCATCTGACACACCTAGACATAAAATCAAGCGTCACAGAAGGGATCATAAATGAGCATGTAGTCTGTCAAACACGGCAAAAAAGCCATGGCATTTTATTTAGCAGTTCCTTTCATCTTGCCCAATACAGGACAAATGGTTTTAAGAAAACTTCCAGGTCTTTTCATTTTTGTTTAAAAACCACAACAATAAAACAAATAAACAAACTACCTGGAAAGCTTGTTCCAGTGATTATTCTTACTTGAAAAGTCAGCTTTTAATATCAGAGCTTTCCTGTCTTCCACTTAAGTCATTAGATCTTATTCTGTTTGCTAAATTAAAACATGTTGGGGCATGAGATCATTTTTCTGGTGTACAACCTGGCCTGATTAGAGTTCTCTTGACTTCCCTTGTAAACCACACAGATCTGAACCCTTATAGTCATACTTACAAATTACACAGAGGTGCATCATAGCCCCTCTTGATCTGTTCCTGTTTATAATCATAGCCTATTTTAAACAGAGTTTTCTGAATACAGTTCATCTCTTGGACTTTGCTCATGACATTCTTATAAATTCGGTCCATTATTTCCTATAGAGAAAAGATTAAAGAGAGAGACAAGAATTACTATTTTTGACAGGAAGGACATGCATCAATTGTGCTAGAAACCAAGAAATAGTACTTGATTGTCCTGCATGAAAAGGCGCAGCTATGCCGTCTCTGCCAGTTTGTTGGATAATAGTTAACAGTTTAAGGCATCATCTAGTTAATCAGTATATAGCCCATTGTAGCTGTGGGCTATCCAAAGGTGGGTAGAATAGCATTTAGGAAAAGGTGTACTCATGTCCTCTACTTCCCCTTTCCTCCTCCATCCCCTCTCAAATTCTAAAGCTAAAAAAATAAGTCACATATTGGCATATATTGTAGTGTGATCTTCAAATGCCACGGTCAGTCCGGGAAAAGTAACCAAAGTACCTCTGCAACCACCGAGCACTAAACAACAGTATAATAGGATTTCTACTAGCCGATTCTTAAATCTTAAACCATTCTCCCCACTGACCTGAGCATAAAGATACCTCCCCCTCCCACCCAAGCTAGATAATAGTACCCATCATACAGATGCATTACTACTTCTGGACTCTGTATGCTGCCTACTGTTATGTACTATTACGCACGTTGAAATAATCTTTAAAATGACAAAATCAGTTAAAAGTCTGACTGAAAACACAGTCACATTCATATGGACTGGGACAGTTTATGGTAGGCCAGAGAAAGTGCTGGTGACACCACATACTGCAGCTGGCAGACATAACAGAATGCACTGAAAACATAGAAGTTTGAATTCACAATTTTTTTCCTGAAGGAGGTTCATAAGCCTATCAGGAATAAGGCTGCAAGAACGTTATTTGCAAAAACAGGAGGCTTTGGGTGTTCAAACTGTTTGTATCCTTGGAAGGGGCTAAAAGGAGACCCGATTGCTACACGTGATTCTTACATCAGAGTGTCTGGCGACATGCTGTCAGCAAGGTCCTTGACCCTGCTGACAGCACAGGGCCTGGTGGCAGAGGCTGGAGCTAAAGAAACTGGCCTTAAGAGGGAGCAGGGGGAAGTCAAAGGTTGGAGCAGTGTTTGCTGTTGGGATGATGGGGTTATCAGAGTTCAGTTCCTTACGGTATTTTTTTTAAATACACCCTTAGTCTAGACTACAGAGGCTATTATTGCTTATTTCTGCACACAGGCAAGAGCAAGCTAGGTAGCTGCAACAGCTGTCTCCTTCCTCCCTGAGCCCAATATGCTTGTGGTGCTTGTTGCGCTACATTTAATACTGCATTTAAAAATTAAGCATTCCACGCTTCAGGACCGGAAAGGAATTCTACTCTCTGTGCCCCCACCCCCCACCTATGTCTAACTCTATTGCATTCTCCCCGACTATCTTCTTCTGAAGTCTGGAGTATCAGCTACAGCTAGAAATGGGGCACTGGGGAGGCTGTACTGGCAATTCTGCATGGTATTGAGGAAGCTCTTGGGCACCTGCTGATGTCTTGTTTACATGCTCAGGGTTAAGAATCCCTTAGAATTGGCTATTAGGAAGATTTTTTTTCCCCTCCTCAAGTCAGTCTGGCAATAACATTTGGGAGTTTCATTACTAGTCTGGGATATTAGTTGCTTCTTCTAGGCCTATTCACCTACAAATGGCAAAGCCAAGACTTTGCTCTCTCCTGCTGCCTTCCTGTGATATTGTGCAGTTTGAGATTCTTTTATACTAAAGGTCCTTTTTATTAGGTGTTGGGGCTGCTGAGTAGCTTGTGCTGTTCAGGGAAGATGTCATATGGACCCATCTGAAGGCAACACCTATTAAATGGTTACCTGCAGTTCTAGGGCCTGGACTACCTTCCAGTCTGATGTTTTAAGTTGCTTACTTTCCTGTTCAAAAATATTTTACATTTGTGAATGCACAAGACTTTATGAACATGCTCCTTCCACTCTTGCATTAGACAGACCAACAGCTCAATTACTTGTTTTTTTTGTTTTTGTTTGTTTGTTTGTTTATAAATTATAACGTTTAAAGAAGGCAGACAAGGTTCTTTGGCTGAATCTGATATCTTTTATTAGACCAACTAATAAAAGAGATCAGATTCACCCAAAGAACTCTGTTTGCCTATGTATTTAGGCCAACACGGCTACAACCTACACCCTGATAACATTTAAAGGCAGCGGTCTTGTGCTTCAGCAGTCTACTGCTGGATGACACCAATTATATCTAGAACAGTGAGAACTGAAACTTTCACACACGGCATTTCACTCTTCTCCCAAGGGACAATTTACTATCAATGAAGCAAGTGTATGGTTCATTCCAGCAGTAACACAGAAAAAACAGGAGTGCTCTTGCTAAGTCTTCTCCATACTTACAGGCACTGCAGCCATCAATGTGGGCTTCAGTACAGTACAGTCTCCTTTGCTTCCCTTCTTAATTTTACTTGACTGTAATAAAAAGAAAAAAAATGTTACTATTTTTTCAGGTGTCACCGATTAGAGGAAGATCAGAATGACAAATAAAAAAAAGAAAAATCAGGAGATTACTTAATGGGCAGTTTCCCCAAGAACAACTATTTACTCCAAAGTGGTTCTCTCTCAATGGGGTGGAACAGAAAAGAATATCACAGTTGGCTGCAATCTCCTGCCAAGCAGTTGTGAAAGAAAGCCTACTAGAACAAACCCAGGAATATATCGTATTTCCTTTTATTATTTTTGTTTTAGCAGTTTCTATTGTATGGTATAACTTCCAGGTGATTTCCAAGAGCCAGTTCCCCAGGCAGGGTTCTGGCATGTTGCTATTTGATACTTTAATGGTTCTTCAGCCTCTCTGTGCTATGTATCTGTCTGCTAATGTGTGCAACAAACTTTCATTCACTTTTCTCTCCCAGCTGCTTAAGTTTTTCATCACTTCCATAACTTTCTCAGAGGGACTTTCAGTGAAATAGGTGCCAATAGCTTTCATTAGTAGCATTCCTATCTCTACCCAACTCCCTGTCCACAGTTTCTCAAAAAACTGTTAAGCAAGGTAAAAACCCCAAACCTGAGCAAAGGGGCTAGGTAGCAATTTAGAAAGCAATTACTGGGCAGATAATTTAGGTTAATCTCGGCACAGTCCTTGTCCATACCAATTTATATTGATTTTTATGCAATGGTTACACCGGGGAGGGAGAAAACAGGGGAGAGCGGATTGAGCAACCTTCTGTGATTCTTATTAACCTTTTTTTTTAAAGTAAGAAGAGTAAACAAAGAGAGGCTTCAAAACCAAAAAAGGAGCCAAAACCCACAGTTAAAAGCACAAAACCTGATATGGGCCTAGGTCATGAAAAACAAACTACCACCAGAAAACAATTAAAATAAAATGCCAGTGATTAAAAACCTTTGCACCTCCTCCGTTCCCACACACCTGCTATTACATTTTAAAAGAGCCAGCTGGCACTTTCACAGTACATAGTGCCCCCTCAGTGGCCCAGTGGGATACAAATTGGTCAATGTTTTGTTTTTAGGGCAAAGTGCCCAAACTCAAGAGATAAGCATGGGACTGGAGAGAAAAAAGGGACGTCAATAATAGCGAAAACTCTTTTAAAATTTAGATTAATTGCTAGGCATGGCTGTGTTAAATGCAGTTGGTCTTTGGATGGCAATTAATTCTCTAATTACCAATTTATTGTTTAACACCACAGAAAGTCATAAGCATGCTTTCTCTTTTCATTTACAGATAAAGTCAATGTCACTTAAAGAACATGTAAGCTCAAAATGTTGATAAAAATTGTGATACAACCTGCTTTAGCTTCATTAGGACCTTATTTTAGGAGAGCAGAAGGAAGGAAGTTAAGTTTTGAGAAGGTTCTGTTTAGGGGGTGCACAGATAAGAGATTGTGGGCTGATATCCAATATTTAAGGGGGCACATTGACCAATACTGGATCTGATTTCCAAAACAGTGGCCATCAACTGGTCAGTCTGGTGTGGGAGGGGACGGGAAGGGGCATGGGGGAGCAAATCAATCCCCTGCAGTGAGGGAGGGCAGGAGCAGGCGCTAGCACTGCCCGGCCAGTGGGGGGGGGAGACACACAACCATGCCCCAGATCTGCATGGCATGAGATGGCTGCACACAGCACAGGCATTTAAAATCAGTCAAAATTTTAAAAAAATTGGCCCCACAGGCCAATAGACAATTTTTCTTATATCCAACTGGTACTGATATCGGACCAATGCATCAGTGAACCTCTAGTTCTTTTGCGCATGATATTGATAACATTTTTCAAGGGTAAACCAATGACTGACCAGCAAGGACACAGCAACAAACAGAGCTGAGATTTTGCTTAACCACCAACCTGATAGTTTTACCTTACCTGGTCTGAGAGTGTGAGTGGAGAGGAGTATCCAATGCTGCAGCCATATGCAACACAGGAAAGTTCTGCTGTCAATTCTAATACATGAGCCAGAGGCAAGTACCCAATGTAAGTGTCCTTAGATCTGGCAAAGAAAGTACTATGTGATTAAACTATGATGCAAGACTGAGCAGAAAATACTTCATTTAGTTTAACAGAATATTGAGTATATATAAGAACAGAGATGAAATGTTAGTTTTCCAGAAGCCTACATGACAACAGGTCACTACTGGTGTCTAGTCACCTATATACAAATCAAATCTTACCTCAGTTTTGCCACTTATAAGTGTCGTAGAAGTGTTCCCACTGAAATAATGGCCCCTAATCTTAAAACGAAGATTGTGAGGGGGAGCAGGGGGTAGGGTTCAGTCACTAGGAAGTCAAGTCATTCATTTTGATCTAAAGTAATTTTTCACCAAGAATACATGGAGTTGACAACTAGAAAAAACTTCAAAAAAGGGCTTTCACCAGCATAAAAGAAATCGGGAAATATTTATAGCTGACAGCAGAAGCTTCTTTAACACTAGGTCATTTCAAGTACTGTATGACAACATGTCCTTTATTAACCTGAAGACAAGGCACTGTATTGAACCTGTTTGCCTTCAACATTTTGCATATTTCTTCATGAGGGCTTTGCTTAATTACATTGATCCTAGTGTGATCAAAGCTTAATGACTTATTTTCCCCCACTGTTCTTTTGTTGTACATTGTTTCAACTTGCAACCTTAATAAAATATTTAAAATGAAATTAGCTACCAAATTAATTTAAGGGAAGAAATCTTAACTCTCTGCTTGAGGTGAACAAGGTAGTGAAACAGGCTGGTGTAGCACACATACAAGAATCTAGGTGGACCTAGTCCACCAGGACTATGTACTCACACTCCTCAAGGCAATGCTGAAAAAAAAAAAAAAAAAAAGTCTACTCAGAAACACCAGCCTGTGCACTCCACTCAGATTTCATGCTGAGAGTTTGTGAACCTTTAATAAGCTGAAGAGAAACCCTACGTGAAAAAGATATAGAAGTCTCTCCATATACACAGCACAGCAGGTTGCTATCTTGAGAGTATGGAGACCTCAAGAGGAAAGAAACTTAAAAGGAACCCTGCTGTCTTCTAAAGGAGGTCCAAAATAGGGATAGAAAAAGCACAAAGGCAGCAAAGAGCCAGAGACACAAAATTGTTTCTAGACAAATACCACCTCCAAAGCAACTTTAGAAAGAGACAACTTCATGTAAAGAAAATATTAAACAGATAGAAAAAGGGGGGTAGGTAAATCACATTCTTTTAAAAGAACAGTGACTAGAAACCTTGGAATCATGTGAGAAGATATATCCCAACAAAACTATTTATCCATATGCATGACAAGAGATTCTTACCCCAGTCCAGGTATTCGCTCACACTGGCCTGTCATTCCAGCTACCAAGTTCTTATGCATCATCATCACTCCTTTAGGTCGCCCAGTGGAACCACTAGTATACATTACTAAAGCCAGGTCTGTTGGAATGGGTCTGGTTATAGGGATGCCTACTATAAAAGGTAACAGAAAAAAAATGCTCACATTACTTTAGCTAGAAGTAAGACTCAGATCAATGAACAAATGAAATGGGAGCCCCAGATCAAGCTTATGGTGCTTGCCCTAACTGCCCTCTGTAAGAAACACTTACCAGGATGAAAGGCTAACTGGTAGCCAAACGGGCCAGGTTGAGTGGCTGCAATCTGGCCCACAGGCCATATATCTGCCACCCCTGCGTTAGAGTGAAATGAGTGAATGGAAAAAGAGTCAGATTTTCCATCCATAGCACTTGCAGAGCCTTCTTTGTATCAATGTGGGCCTGCCTCTGTTAAAAACTCTTAATGGAAAAAACCAGAAGCCAAATTTATAAGCAGGTTCATCTTAACTCTGTTTTTCTCTTAGTCCTGTTAAGGGGTCATTAGATTTGGCTAAGCATTACCAGGTATTAAAAAGAACAAATCCTCATGCCTGCGATTCCCATGCCTGCCCAATATAGTTATCAGGGGTGGGAAGAACACATGCAGTGCTTTGCCCCATGAATTTGAAGGGTTTGGTAGCTACAAAATTATTCAGTGAAAAGGAAAAAGTGTTACTAAAACAAGGTGCATCTCATCCTCTTTTAGGGGGGCAGGAAGGGGCGGGGAAAGGAAGATTTTAAAAAGACGACACCACGGTAGACCTTTAACTCTTATGTGCCTTATTTTAAGAGTGAGCTCAAAGTCAATGCCAATGCCAGTCATGGTTTAAAAATGATGCATTTGGAATATCAAAACAAGTAAAATCCACTTGGCACGTGGCAGCAGTAAGAATCCCACCACCCAGAAATGTTTCTTTAATGCCATGTTTGTTTAAGAGAACTGCAAAGTTGAATCTTTATGCCATCCTTTCCTTTTCCATTAGAAGCATGCATGTTTCTTCTCTGCTACCAAACATCCTAAGATCAAGGTACATCATCTTACCAGATTACTTGTTTAGTCCTCCAAATTGATCACTTACTGTTTTCTGGTTTGGCTCCCAGCTCTTCTACCATTTCCATACTATGAATCTCCAGGCCTTCAGGGCATTCTGATTTACTGATAGTCTTCTTATCCACACAAATGATGTGTTTGAGATGTGGGATTTTGGACAATGCACTCTGTTCAAGAGAACTCAAATTCAGCACTGACTGCACAGTATATTGCAAGATTACACTAAAGACAAAAAATGGTTCCCCAATTACCTTAAGTTTACTCTCCAGAAGTTCTGTGCTAGTGATCAGATATGATGCTTCACATTCATTGAGACCATAGGTTACTGCCTCTTCACCAAGAGTGGCATATAAAGTAACAACTGTTTTACAAATTAAACAAAACAAAAGTTAAAAGCAAGGTAACTCTAAACCAAGAGCTTTTGCATCTACAT